AAATAGTTAACAAAATAAAATAGAGAAGCAAATGCTAATAAGAAAAATTTATACAAAAGACAAAATTAATTTAAACATAGCAATACACAATATTAACAGTCTCAAAAGAAATAATCAAAAAATAAAGATTTTACAAAAATAGTTAATTGACAACAAAATAGATATAATTAGCATAGCAAAAACAAATATCTCAAGCAAAAAAAGATTATTTATATTAAGCAATTAGAGTGATTACAGGAGTTTTTAGTTAAATGCAAATTCAAACAAAAAAAACAAACAATAGAAAAAACATTTAAAAGAAATAGATAAGATAAATAAATATATAATTATAGTTAACTTTATATTTAAATAAACTAAAATAATAGTTATAATGCTTTATATGCCATTAAACAACAAAAAATAAAAAAATAAAATACAAAAAACAATAATCAAAAGATTTATCAAATGCTTACAAAGAATACAAATAATTGTAATAGGAAACTTTAACAATATAGTTGATTCAGAATTAGATAGATTGAAAATCCCAAAACAAAAATAATTAAGCAAGATCTACTACTTAAATAGCTAACAAGACAAAACTTTAGAGATGTATACAGATTGGTAAATTCAGAGAAAAAGAATTCTCATGATCAGGTAGAGGTTTAAAATCAAGAATTAACTAAATTTGGATTACAAAAAAACTAGTAGATAGACTATTTAATGCAGAAATACAAGAGATAGATATATGCACAAATAGTGATTACAGTTCAGTAATAGCACAAATCAATTTAGAACATTTAATTGAACCTTATAGTATAGCAGAAATCAAAAAATAAAGCAACAAAGAACAGTTTTCTTGTAAAATAAAGCAACCAAAGAGGATATAGAAAATTACAGAATAGAACTGAACTTACAGTTAAAAAAAAGAATTCAATTACAAGAATTAAAAACAGTGTCATAAAATTTGAACAATCAAAACATTGCAGAAAAGGTTTTACAAAATAGATTAGATAGATGGTTAAACATTTTATACAATAGAATTCAAACAATAGCAAAAAAAAAAATATAAAAAAAAAAATTTAATACAACAGAAAACAAGAAAAAGAAAGTAAAAAAAGCAAAATTATTAAAGATTCTAACTCAGCTAAAAAGGTGAATCAGTATAGGAAAGATTAATATTAAAGTTAGATTAATAAAAGATAATATAAAAGAACTAAATAAAAAATTACATTATATCAACTATCAACAAAAAATATATATAGATACAACTCAGAGTAAATAATTACAAGAGTTGATAAAAGATTTAAAAGAATAGTAGAAAATATTATATACAAGAAGAACAAGTAAAATCAAGACTTTACAACCAAAGAAAATAAAAACTTTACAGAAAAAAAATATCAAATAATTAGAAATAATCAAGAAAAAATATTAAAAAGTCTGTTTGACAAACTTAGCAAAAAGATACAAATAGACAAACTAATAAAAAAAATAGATAGTCAAAGAAAACTGTTTACAGAACCATCAGAGATTTTGAAAAAAGCAAAAGACTATTTTTAAAATTAACTAAAAGTAAGGCAATTCAACCAAGAATACTAGAAAAGAGGTAGAAAAAAAATTATAAACCCAAGTATACAATAAATATAAACTGATATAATAAATTAAATTAGAATATTACAAATAAAAAATAGCAGAAATACTAATAGGTTTAAAAAAAAACATAGCATTAGGCATAACAGAAATCATATATAAGCTAATTCAGATGGCCAGTGAGCAAGCACAAGAAATTTTTAAAAAGTTTGCAAAAATATGCATTAAGGCAGACATCATACCAAAAAAGTTAAAGCTTTCACAAATATATTTAATACTGAAAAGTGAAAAATAGCATTATAACTTAAGTAATATAAGACTTATTACACTATTAGAAACATTCAGAAAGTACACAACCAAGCTTTTTACCAAAAGGTTAACACAAGTACTTTGTAAAAGAAAGATATTAAAAGGATCTAACTTTACAGACCTGTCAGACAATTTAACAGAAAAGCCAGTTTATATTATTAATGCTATAATAGAAGATTCAAAAAACAATAACAAAGAATTATAGCTAGTACTTCAAGATATAAAAAAGACATTTGATTTAGTATTACTAGAGACACTAGAGTTAGTAATAAGAAGAATTAAAATTTTTGAAATAGAGGTATGATGACTTAGTGAAATAAATAAGTTGTCAAGCTTCCAAGTAATAAATTGAAAGTTCAAATCCTATTAACAGCAAAAATTTAAAAAACTACTGATATTATATCAGTATTACAAAAGATAAGTAGTATTATGATAATAGTATTCTGTTAATCATTTGAGATTAAATACCTGTAACATGATTGTACCAGCATAACTGGCAGGTCATAGAGCATTTGCACAATGTTGAAGTTATACAAAGGAATACAAATCAGCATTAGATGATGCAAACTTAAGATAAGTTCTCATGGTTATGTAAATCTGTAAACTGAAAAAACCAGAACCTACTTAAGAAGACTCAAGTAGAGTGGTAGTACAGATCTTTGACAGTACTATTGTAAAGACTAGATCTAGAAAATGAATACCAATATAGAAGAAATTGGACAGACAAGAATCTTAGATAAGAAATAACATCAACCAGATTACTGGAAGTCTCAAACTAGAGAAAAAGGATCTTGAAAGACAGACTCTAAAGTATTAGAGACAGGTTATAGTTCTATCAAACTATCTGAATTGAAAATTTAAGGTCAGAAGTAGAAGTATACTATAAGTACTAAAAATATACTATAAAATCAGTACTAGAGTTTGAATAAATTCTGCAAAAATGAGACCTATTAACAAGAGACTAAATGTAGATTGTTAGTTAGCAGAAAGACCTCATAAAGCCTCACAGTTAAGTGATATATTCTGAAATATGTAATGGCTTGACAGATGTACAGACAGGAAGGTTATAGTTAGGTTAGATAGCACTTAGATGTATAAGAACTTGTGTACTATTTGTTGATATAAGTATAAAGATTAGAATGTTTAAATAGATAATTTTCTAGTAGATTGCAGATATGACAACTAGTGTAGAACTTATAAATGAACTACTTAAATTAGACACCAAAAGTGCACATGTAGCTAGTTGTAATCTTCTATATATAGAAGCTTCTAGAAGCATTTATGTTCAAATACTTGAATAAGAACATCAATCTCCAAAAGCAGAGACTTTAACTTAAAAAAAAAAAATAAAATTTAAACTACAAGTGATTTTTAAAAAAATCAGTATTTTTTTTAATTTTATATTATATTTAATCATACAATCTGATTAGTTGATTAGATAGATGTGTTACAATGCATATATACTAAATTACATAAACTTTATTTTTATAGTTACAGACTTATTATTTGCAAAAATAAGTATAATACTTATTATTAAATTTCTACTTTTTCTTAACCAATAAATTTATTATAAAATTTAAATTCTTTATCATATTTCAAGATTTACAATTTATTTTCTTAAACTCTTGATATATACAAAAAATTAAATGTCAATCTAATCTCTCATATATTATTATTAATGCTCAAAGTTAGATGAGTTTTGATTACTCCAGTTTGCTTAGATCACAAATAAATTAGTCTAAACTTTTATTTTTTTTATATTATTTAAAAATCAATTTGTACTTTATGTAAAAATCTCAATTAAATATTCAATAAGATAGAGGCATGACCTCACCATTAATATTAAAAAAAAATAAAATAAAATATGTTATACCTTTTAACTGCCAACTACCTCTTAATTATTTTTAATTACCTTTTTATTCTTGCTTTTTTTATGAATTTTACTATCTTTCACTAATTTTGCTATCTTTTTTTTGTCACCTTTCGCCATTCGTCTGTGTCGAAACCTCTAATACCACGAAAAAATTTCGTCATACCATCTGTCCATAATTTAGACACCCATGTATAACTATCACTGAATGTCATTCCACGACTCAAAGAATCATCGTTATCAAAAACTTTTTCCTGTAGTAATTGATTACTTGTTTGCGATTTAGTCACCCACGAGGGAATAGATGCGCGTGAAATGGAAGCGACGAGGCAAAAGAACAATATGTTAAAGAATCAGATTGAGTTTTATTTGTCTGCAAAGAATCCACAGATTCTGTAGACCGAAAAGGTTCTGGCGAACAATTCAAGATATGATAATCATGCTTCTCAGGAGATAGATCATCGCCTTTATTGTTGGATGTTGAACGTCATTTTCTAAATCCATACTTTAGAAGGAATAGTTTAAACACCAATTTGGCCAGTTTTATACGAGCGGAGTATTAAAGTAGCCTGCATAATCAACATAATAAATTTTAAAACAAGAATCGGAGAATGTATTCCATTTAGGGATTGGAACCGCCTAAAATTTTCTTTAATCGTTTAATCGTTTAACCGTTTAACCGTTTAATCGTTTAACCGTTTAACCGTTTAATTTGGTCGGCATTAAAATAATTCCGGCACACGACCAACATAATTCTGCCCGGAACTATGGAGCAATTTTTTTAACGGTTAAACGGTTCCAATCCCTAATTCCATTGTCTTGAGATAACAAATAATGTAGTAGGTTTTCTCTATATAAATCCTCATGATAAAAATTGATATAGCATTTGAAAAACCTGTTTTCACTTGTCAATAAAGCCACGATGTATCTGTGCATTATCTGCATAATTATTAATGGTTTTTTTTCTTTATTATACAGTATGTATTTACTATGTGAAGGAAAATATAGAAATTAAAGAATCTTCAATATGATACCGTATTTAGTATCTTTCATTGGTGTTACTTGTTTTATACATATATATCAGTTTATCTATAATTGTCTATTTCCGCGTACATATATCATTAGTAAGCATCCTACAAAAAAATTGTGGAACATCAGATTTTAATAAAATTCGCGAAATATTACATTTATCGATGTATAAACCGTATTTTATCAAGTCCATAATTAATCATATATTCAACAATTTACGGATAAAATGCACTCCAAAGTTGTAATTATAGGTTCTGGTCCTGCGGGACATACGGCAGCACTCTACTTGTCCCGAGCAACCCTAAAACCGGTTATGTTTGAGGGATTCCTTGCGAATGGTTTTGCTCCCGGTGGTCAAGTATGCATTAATGATATTTTTTATGTTATATAACGTATTTTATTTTAAGGTGTAGTTTTATCATTGTATAATAATTTTTTCTTCAAAAAATACCACTGACACGTTTTTGTATCTCTTATTACATTATTAAGCTCACTACAACCACTGAAGTTGAAAATTATCCCGGTTTTCCTGATGGTATAATGGGTGGAGAAATGATGGATAAATTCCGACAACAAAGCATTAAATTTGGCACAACTATTCACACAGAAACCATATCAAAAATTGATATTTCAACACGTCCATTTAAGCTTTGGCGTGAAAATAATGAAGATAAAGATCCTGATACCGCTGATGCACTTATTATTGCTACTGGCGCTGCTGCAAAAAGACTGAATCTTCCAGGGGAAGACAAATATTGGCAGAAAGGAATCTCGGCGTGCGCTGTTTGTGATGGTATTTAAAGTCGTTAATTGGCTCAATATATGTCTTGTATCTTTTATTTATTTTACACTTTATCTTGAAGGTGCCGTACCTATTTTCCGCAACAAACCTCTCGCAGTAGTCGGCGGTGGTGATTCTGCTGCTGAAGAATCTTTGTTTCTTACAAAATATGCGTCTCACGTCTACGTATTAGTTCGTCGAGATAAACTTCGTGCTTCAAAAGTTATGGCAAATCGATTAGTTTCTAATCCAAAAATTACTGTGTTATGGAATACTATTCCTAGTGAGTGCAAAGGTAATGGGGAACTACTTAATAGTTTGGTAACCAAGGATACCAAAACTGCTGAAATTAAAGAACTACCTGTAAATGGTTTGTTTTATGCTATTGGCCATGCGCCAGCTACCGATTTAGTTAAGGGAAAATTGGATTTAGATGAGGATGGCTACATTATTACAAAACCGGATAGTACCTGCACAAGTGTAGAAGGTGTTTTCGCTGCGGGTGACGTTCAGGATAAAAAATATAGGCAAGCTATTACAAGTGCTGGATCTGGATGTATGGCTGCATTGGAATGCGAACGTTGGTTGAGCGAACATTTTGCTGAATAACAGATTCACTTTAGTAAATCTCATATATTTAGTAATTTTTTCAGAAATCTTCTGTAGCAAAAACTTTATTATTTAATGTAGAATTTTAGAAATGTATTAAATTATAATCTTTTGAGTAAACAAAAATGGTTCTAATTTGATGTTATTTATATTGTAAGAGATTGGAATTTTGTTATACCGAAGTTGTAGAAATTTTTTACTTACCAAATAATATTATTAAATAATATTTAAATTTTGTATTTTGAAATATTAAAATTTGATTGGTTTATCTAAATAACAAGATTAAAAAATAAAGGTAATAGTTTTATGTTAGGATTAGGACTCTATTTTTAATAAAAAAAACTTGGTTTTTTATTTATTTATTTTTTTTAAACTTTGGTGATATTGTTAATTGGTTTATTAGATTCTAAATTTGATATAGTACAATTTACAGTTACATTTATAAGATTAACTATTACTAGTACTATATTAGTTATTCTAATTTTACTTTACTGACTTCGTCTGATTACTCATATGATATCTAAGTTCATGTTTATTGTATATCTGCATACAGTTATTTTAACAATTACTTGTGATTAAGTTGTATCATTAAACTATTATACAAACAAGAATACCTCTGAGCTTAATACGATATCTTGATATTTAAAGTTATTAATAGATTGGGTTGAAGTAGATTGGGTTAAAATATTTTTCAATTTATTTTAATTTGAGTTGGGTTCATTTTAGAGTCATTTAGATTTGTTTATAGTTGTTTCAGTTTACTTTAGTTTCATTTTAATATATTTTTTATATTTTTAACTTATTCTAACTTAGATTGGACTTAGTTTAGAATTGCTTTGAAATATATCATTTCATTAATTATTCTAAAAATACTATCTTCTATAATTGTATCTATATGTCTTATTTATACATTTTACTTAGTTTTGTTTTTTCTGTTTTCTAATTTAACTATATCTAGTAATATCTTGTTTTTTATATTTCTTATCTTTTTATTATTGTATTATTTTCAAATTAGTTTTACTTGGATATATCTTTTTTGTTTATTTTTTTATTTTTAAACTAGTCTTTTGGGAACTAGAGCTTTTTTATTCAGTATTGTAGGACATGGTAACTCATGGTCTAATTACCTCAAAGGAGCTACCTTACATTAGAAAGTACATCTAGCCACATGTACACTTTTGGTGTCTAATTTAAGTAGTCCACCTATATAGGTTCTACATTAGCAGTCATACCTGTAACCCAACTACAAGTGTTGCCTATTTAAATTCTCTGTATTGTAATCCTTACTGTTATCACTAGAACATCTCTATTAGTTGAAAAGTTCTAGATACTTACCCATATTCTTAGGACCTCTGTCTTATTTCATGCAGATTATTCTCAAAACATTATTACTAAAGCCTTTTATATTCCAAATTATAGCTAAACCTAGTTTACAACTCTTGCAAAGTTCATACAATCCCAGTACCCTCTTTTTACAACCTCATAGTTACCTTATCTACCCTTGCAAGTTCTCTTATACTACCAATTCAGTTAGCTCTGTATGATGTAACTTTATGCCCAGATCAACCAGTAGCCAGGTTGGTGAACCCTCTACTTAGAGATTCTTGCCTGTACAGATCATCTGTCCTAGGTTTTCTTTAGCAGATCAAGATCTTCACAGGTGGTACTGTCAAAAGTTGTACTACCTTTCTGCTCGGGATTTCCAAGCAGACTTTTAATCTAAGTATATACTTTTTGGATTTATTCATATGACATTGTACACTTCCAAAGTTAGTCTTAGTATAATCAGAATTACAGAATCTACAAACCCCAGATCACAGATAAGTTTGCCAGAATAGGTCTATTTTTCTAAAATCTGTTATTGATGGAAATTGAACATTGGATCTACTGCTTGGAGGATGACAACCTAACCACTACTTAGATATATCTAATTTTTATAATCTTTTATTTTTGATATATTTGTTATTGTTTTTTTAAAAAATTTTTAATAATAGTTTAAGATCTATAATAAACTTATATTTTAAGTCAAACCTGTTGTTGTTATTAATCTTTTAACTAATTTATATTTTAAGTTAAATTTGCTATCATTATTTTTGTAAATGTTTTAGATCTTAATATCATATAATAACTTAATGTTATATTTATTTTTAACAAAATACTTTTTTTATAATAAAAATTAGAATTTATTATATTTATAAACAAAACAATTCGCGAGGATGGCGATCCTAGTGTAGTGGTTGGGTTGTCATCCTCCAAGTGGCAGGTCTAAGGTTCAAATCCCACCTACG